TCTCCTGATGACAAAAAAAATCCATTAATTAGATGAATTAATTATTTACAGTATCAGTTAATGTTGTCTAATACAAATCTACCATGTAGTTTTAAGTTGGTATGCTGTCTTATCATTGCATCCTAAAATGGCTTACGTGAGCCTGGTCCACCTTGGTTGGTCTCCTTGTTTTGGTGCAAGGCTCTATAATGCCTCAGCATTGATGAGGTGTTGTTGTTGTTGTATCCAAGTTCTTTGGAACACAACAGACACTTCACCTTTTAAAATACCAGAAATAAGAAGAAAGACATTAGAACAAGGGATACCTTGTGTTACCGGCCGCATTTATTTATATTACACTAGTTATTATTACAATGTAAATACCTTATTCGGTGAGATCAGCTCAAAGTGTTCCCAGACAGGGGAAAATCTCCTTTTTCTTGCAGATTCCATGGAGAAAAAAATAAGCTTGAATATATAACAAAGTCCCAAGTCCACAAAATGTGAGGGGGAATCCATTGCATTTTGCTGCCCCTTATATTTCAAATAGACCGCCAAATCGCGAACCACTTCGTGGTACAGCCGGCTCGCGAGGCTTCAAACGTCACCACATACGTCACCGACACAAGCCTCGGAACGCGCTTCGCAGAAATCATCCCGGATTACTCGACACACGCTTCGAAGCCTCGATACGGGAGGACACATCACTACTTCCTAGCTCGTTTTCTCATGGGTGAGCCAAATTCTCTGGGCGGGAAAAGCAGAGAAAGGGGAGGTAACCTGAGGAGATTCAAGATCAGCGCGTCTGAGCTGCAGAGAAGAGAAAAATAGCCAAAGCTCGTTTTACACCGATTGAAAATCCTAGACATGAGGGGACCAAATACAGGCTAGGCGCAGGGGTTCTCAAACTCGCTGTCCTGCAGACATCAAACATGCCTACCTGTGAGTTTCTACTGATCCTGAAGACCTTGATTATCTTGCTCAGGTGTGTTTGATCAGGGTTGGAGCTAAACTCTGCATGACAGTGGCCCTCCAGGATCGAGTTTGAGAACCCCTGGGCCTCAAAGTGAAAATTTCATGTCAGGGGACCTTTAACATTTCTGTTTGTGCTTTCCTTCTGCAACATTATTGTTCCTTGATTAGAACGCATACTGGTAAATTCCTCATTTATTTGTTTGCCTATACTTTATAAGAGAACTTTAATTGAATGTGATGCTAAGAGCTGATGAATAAACCTTGTAACTTCAGTGCATCCTCAAACACAGCCACTGCTACTTTATTACAAGAGTTCCTTGAACTACAGGGGTTGGACAATGAAATTGAAACACCTGGTCTTACAACACAATAACTTGTTAGAATGGTGAGGGCCTCATTTTGCATCCAAATACAGCACCAATTGACAGATAGAAGTCCTTCACAGTGACCAGAGGGATTATGAGCCGTTCCTCTTCCAGAACAGTGTCCAGGTCACTATATGATGCTGGTGGACTCGCTCCTCCAAAACACCTCAATAATATTCAGATCTGGTGACTGTGCAGACCATGGGAGATGTTCAACGTCACTTTCATCTTCATCAAACCCTTCTGTCACAAGTCTTGCTGTGTGTGTTGGTGCATGATCATGAGCATCAGGTGCTCATGATCCTCCAGAAGGGTTTGGTAGTCCTCGGCAGTGTCGTGTCCATCAAATACAATCAGGATTGTCATTATATTGGAGCTCAAACCATCACTGATCCACCCGTGCTTCACTCTGAAGATTGGCCGCCAGGCATATAGATGTGAAACCTCCAACATTGGCCAGTGTTTCAGTTTCATTGTCCAACCCCTGTAGTAGGGTGCACTAATTGGGTTTACTCACTTTTGTTGCCATATATTTTGACAATAATGGCTGTATGTTGAGTTATCGATAACTAATAGCTGCAGAGGTATTTAAACTTTTGGGCATAAAAAAGTGTATAAAGGTATGTATAAATTTGTTTGTTTGTTTGTTTTGCAGATACCAAATTTAGGAAAATTGTGAGAAGGCACTGGAGCCCAAATGAAGTGAATGCTGTCATGAAACATTTCAAAAACCACATTTCAAAGGGACACCTCGCAACATCGGCAGAGTGTGCGCGCTGCAAGACTGCAGAGAGCACTGTCCTGAGAGAAAGAACGATCCAGAATATCAGGGATTTCGTGAGGAACCGTGGTTTGAGGTTGAAAAATAAATGTTATTAGAGAGATCAGTGTTGCCTTTTGATGTCTGTGGCGTTTGTTCTGTAAAATTCTCTAAAGTCTTCTTAAGCAGAAGAGGCTGACTCAGGACATTACTTGGTGTCAAAGACCACTTTTTATTTGCTTTTTTTGGTTAAAACATTGTTTTTATAGAAATTTGCTGGTTTAGTGGCAGCAAAAAAGATGCACAATCATTTGTGAATTCACTCTTCGATGTAGATGCGCTGATTTGGTTTAGGATGGTTAACTCGAATACAGGTACTCCTATGGAGTAAATATAGAGTGATGTCCAGTTCAACCCAGATTGTCCTCATAAGCGTAAGCCGGGTGCACACTGTGCGATTTATAATAGTTATTTATGATTATTGCTTGTCAGAGGAACATGATCACCGCTGTAAGCCATGTTACACGGTAAGATCTCAGTTTTCATTAATGTCAGACTGTACAACAGTAAAGACGCGTTAAAAGCAGACACGCAAGAACTTGTCCGGAGTTTACATCATCAATCAATGACACGTACGTTCACAGTGAGCACGCGGGATTGAAATGGTGGCTAAGAAGAAATCTCGAACGCTAATTTTGGTCATGGCTTGTCTTGAAAAACGAAGGCAATTTTTGATGGTCGTCAGGAGAAGACGCTGCAGGACTGAGAGTCAAATCTTCCTGAATTTCGTTGGAGGCAAAATTTTATCAGAGGATACTTTCAGGATTTGCTTAATTCAGACTGCCAAATCGTGGCCAAAATCGCACAGTGTGCGCCAGGCTTTAGTTTGTGTGTTTGTGATGTCCAGTTAAACCCATTGATCAACATTTACTAGATACTAAATACCAAGTCTTGAACAATCATACAATTTTTAGGCAAAACTACTTAATGTAATTAATAAATTAAGACAGCGACGCGTTCAATTATGAAAAATACTTAATTTATGTAACTTAATCTCACTGCTCAGTACCGGTTTGGGACTGCATTAGTGATGGTTAACTAGTAAAATCTGCCATATTTCACTTCTCCTCTTCTCTCTTTGGTCTTCGCTCACATTACAAACTCGGGTTTGTTTTCTGAAATGGTTTTGAAACAAACTTAAGAGATCTGGTACACTCATGTGTAAAGTTAAACAACTATGATGCTCGTGTTTAATGATTTCTGTGCTAGTAGGTGATCTCCAGCTAAATCAGGGTAACCTGTCCTCATAAAAAAATAATTTAAATCAGGAATTTAATTGTGCAGTCAGTTTTTTTTTACCCCACACCATAAAGAGCAGTTTAATATTTCTTTTTAATCTGTACGACAAAGGGAAAGCTGTGAAAAGTCGTTATAAACCACCTGTGTGTGTGTGTGTGTGTGTGTGTGTAGATGTTTTTCTATGCCGGTGGGGACTTCAACCTGAATATATTAGAATTTACAGTTTGTACAGTATAAAAACCATTACGCCTATGGAGAGTCCCCACAAAGATAGCGAACCTGACGTGATTATGTGTATGACATATTATTACCTTACTTGTAACTTGTTC